GGTGGGATACAAATAAAGTAAATAAAAATATAATGAAATAAATGTAAATGAAGTCTTCTGGAGATACACACACACTTGCACGGGGGTGGGTGGGTGGCTGTGCCTTGCAGCTGAGCTGGTGACGGAGAAAGGGAGGAAGATCCACCCCTTTGCCTAACAATGGTCCTTTCTCAGCCCTTCCATCCCTGCATTGTAAGAGGTGTCTCAGCCGGGAGGCAGGCATCACAAGGTCGTGCAGGGAGCAAAGACACTTGAATCAGCCGGGCACTTGGGAGAACAGAGCAGGGCTGCATCCTCTTGACCTGGGAAAGGGGGGATTTTGGTTGCTAAGCAAACTTGAGCCAGGAGGTCAAGGAGTGGTTGAGATGCGAGTTGCACTGGATGGTGAGCAGCTGGAATGCTTTTTCCTCTCCATCTCTGGTGCCAAAATGCATCTCAAACAGGATGATTGTAGAAGGGGGGGGATGCAGAAAATGATCAGAAGTTGGAGAACCTTTCTTGTCAGGAAAAGCTAAATTGTCTGGGTGGGGGCAGGGAATGGCTGACACTATTTGGAAGCATCGTTCCTGGAGGGGCTCTTTCAGGCTCTCACTGCAGCCCCCTTAAGGATATCAGCAGGGGTACCAGAGAGCCAATATAATAGAGTGAACAAACATGTGGACAAGGGGAACCCAATAGATGTTGTTTACCTTGACTTCCAGAAAGCTTTTGATAAAGCTCCTCATCAAAGGCTCCTAAGTAAGCTCAACAGTCACAGGATAAAAGGACAAGTCCTTTTGTGGATCAAAAACTGGCTAATTAACAGGAAACAAAGAGTGAGTATAAATGGGCAATTTTCTCAGTGGAGGGTGGTAAGCAGTGGGGTACCGCAGGGCTCAGTACTGGGTCCAATGCTTTTTAACTTGTTCATTAATTATTTGGAGTTGGGAGTAAGCAGTAAAGTGGCTAAATTTGCAGATGACACGAAGTTGTTCAGGGTGGTGAGAACCAGGGAGGATTGTGAGGCACTCCAAAGAGATCTGTCGAGGATGGGTGAGTGGGCGTCAACGTGGCAAATGGGGTTCAATATGGTCAAGTGCAAAGTGATGCCCATTGGAGCCAAAAATCCTAACTATAAATAAACGTTGATGGGGTCTGAACTGGCAGAGACTGACCAAGAAAGAGATCTTGGAGTTGTAGTAGATAACTCACTGAAAATGGCGAGAGAGTTTGCAACTGCAGTAAAAAAGGCCAACGCTATGCTGGGGATTATTAGGAAGGGAACTGAAAACAAATCAGCCAGTATCATCATGCCCCTGTATAAATCAATGGTGCGACGTCATTTGGAATACCAAATACCACACCTCAAAAAAGATATTATAGCATTAGAAAAAATGCAGAAAAGGGCAACTAGAATGATAAAAGGGTTGGAATACTTTTCCTATGAAGAAAGGTTAAAGCACTTGGGATCTTTAGCTTGGACAAATGATGGCTGGGATTGAGGTTTGCACGATTATGCATGGGATGGAGCAAGTAGAGAAAGAAGTACTTTTCTCCCTTTCTCACAATACAAGAACTTGTGGGCACTCAATGAAATTGCTGAGCAGTCAGGTTAGAACAGATAAACGGAAGGACTTCTTCACCCAAAGACTGATTAAGACATGGAATTCACTGCCACAGGAGATGGCGGCGACTACAAGCATGAACGGCTTCAAGAGGGAACTGGATAAACATACAGAGCAGAGGTCCATCAGTGGCTATTAGCCACAAGGTATAGGTACGAACTCTCAGTCTGGGGCAAGTGATGCACTGTATTCTTGGTGCTGGGGGGGGGGGCAACAGTGGGAGGGCTTCTAGTGTCCTGGCTCCAATGCTGGACCTCCTGATGGCACCTGGTATTTTTGGCCACTGTGTGACAGAGTGTTGGACTGGATGGGCCATTGGCCTGACCCAACATTGGCTTCTCATTGGCTTCTCTTATGTTCTTATCGAAGTGTAAGACTGGAGAGATGCAGGTTCAGATCCCTGCTCTACCATGGAGCTCATGGGATGGACTTGGTCCTGTCCCCCTCTCTCAGCCTAGCCTACCCTGGCAGGGTTGAGATGACGATGGAACAGAGTTTCATGGAGCATATTGAAGAGGGGCTGCGGCTCAGTGCTAGGACATCAGCTTGGCGTGCAGAAGGTCCCAGGTTCAATCCCCAGCATTTCCAGTTAAAAGGACCAGGAAGTAGGGGATGTGAAAGACCTCATCCTAAGACCCTGGAAAGCTGCTGCCAGTCTGAGAAGAGAATACTGACCTTGATGGACCAAGGGTTAAGGATAAAGCAGCTTCATGTGTCATATTCAGAACCGAAATGCAATAAACTGATAAGTAGAACAAAGCACTGGGGAAAGATTACACCCTACCCCCCGAGTCCGGAACCACACTCCACACAAAGCCATGTTTCTGGTGTTAACTTAATCTATCAGAATTATAACAGCTCTTTAATTATGAGCCACCACGGAGAGCAATTGAGTGAAAGGCATGGTGTAAATCTTTAAAATAAATAAAATGACTGTGGGCATGTGTGAGAAAGGTTTATGAAATTGTGCACAGCATGGAGAAAACAGGGAGATTTTTATCTAATTCACATAACACTGGAGGGTTTAGAACTACCAGAATCAGGTGCAGCAAACGAAGATATTTCTGCACACAATGCAGAATTCACACGTGTTCTATGCCTGCAAAAGAAGCAAGGTGGTAAAATCCTAAGAAAGTAAAATAGTGAACTGTACTTCTATATCTATGCCTTTCATTTTTTGTACCTAAGTGTAGGACTTTGCATTCATCTCTATTGAAATTCATTTTATTTGTTTTAGCCCATTGTTCCAGGCTATCTAGATCCATTTTGAATCCTGACTCTGTCTTCTTCAGAATTAACAATCCCACCTAACTTCGTGTCATCTGCAAATTTGATAAGCATCCCCTCTATGTCTTCCTCCAGGTCATTTATAAAAACACTGAACAACACCGGGCCTAAGACCAAGCCCTGTGGCACTCCACTCGAGACTTCCCTCCACGTAGATGCAGAGCCATTTACGAGCACTCGTTGGGTACGATTTTTCAACCAACCATGAATCCATCCAATGGTTGCACCATCCAGCCCACACTTAACCATCTTATACTCAAGGATATCATGAAAAACTTTGTCAAATGCTTTACTGAAATCTAGATACACTATATCGACAGCATTGTCAGAGTCAACCATTTTGGTAACTCTGTCAAAAAAGGAGATAAGGTTGGTCTGGCATGACTTATTCTTGATAAACCCATGCTGCCTACTACCAATTAACTCATTCCGTTCAAGGTGCTCACAGACATAGCATTTAATAATCTGCTCTAGAATTTTCCCAGGTATTGATGTCAAGCTGACAGGCCTGTAATTTCCTGGGTCTGTCTTTTTTTCCTTCTTGAAGATTGGAACATTTGCTCTTTTCCAGTCTTCCGGCACAACACCAGTACTCCAGGAGATCTCAAAGATTAGAGCCAGAGGCTCTGAAATAACATCTACAATTTCTTTTAGCACCCTGGGATGCAAGGCCCTGGAGATTTGAAAGTATTTAAGGCAGCTAGATGCTCTCTAACCATTTCCTTACTTACTCTGGACTGTCAGTTTCTCCTTCCTTCATATGCCCTGCATTCTTCAGTTTGCATACAGCTCGCCTTACGGTTAAAGACTGACGCAAAGTGAGAGTTGAGTAATTCCACTTTGTCTTCATCCCTTGTTAAGGCTTGACCGTCTTTCCCTAGCAATGAGCTTACTCCGTCCCTGTTCTTCTTTTTGCTTCAAACATAGGCATAGAAATTTTTCTTGTTGTTTTTAGCATCCCTTGCAAGCCTCAGCTCCATCTGCACTTTAGCCTTTCTGACACCATCCCTACAGATTCGAGCCTGCTTCTTGTACTCACCCTCAGTAATCTGACCCTCCTTCCATTTCCTGTACATTGCCCTTTTTAGTCTCAGCTCTTCAGAGAGTTCCTTGTTCAGCCACCTCAGCTTCATTACCCGTCTCCCACCTTTCTTTCTTACTGGAACAGTTTGTGATTGTGCCTTAAGCACTTCATTTTTCAGCATCACCCATCCTTCCTGTGCAGATTTCCCCCTCAGCATTTCCAGCCATGGGATCCTACCTAATATTTCTCTGAGTTATTTGAAATCAGCTTTCCTAAAGTCGAGGATACGAGTCCTACTATGTCCTGGTTTCACATCCTTCTCTATGTCAAATTCCAAGCTGACATGGTCACTATTCCCCAAGGATCCCACAACATTCACTTCATCAACCAGTTCTTCCCTGTTAGTCAGGATTAAATCTAGGATAGCAGATCCTCTGGTTCCCACCTCCACCTTCTGAGAGATGAAGTTGTCAGCAAGACTATTCAAGAATCTGCAGGATGCCCCATGTCTAGCAGAGTTAATTTCCAGCAAATATCTGGATAGTTGAAATCTCCTATAACCACTACATCCTACATTACATTAACTTACTACTCTCACTTGCAACTACTTGGTAGTTGCCTTCTAGTTTCTCATGCCTGTGCCCACCTTTATGGGTTGTTGTTTTTTTTTTTGGGGGGGGTAAATTACATAGTATACTCTGATGGTATTGGGGTCAGTTTTACCCCAATTGTAAAGATTGCAATACACAAAATAAGGGATGACACTGACAAAATGTTCTATTTTTTTTATATTCTCCCCCAAATTTCTGCTGCTATTTTATTCCCGCACTGCCAAACGCAAATACTTAAAGGATTGGATTTTTCCCTTGATAGCTATCAGCATAGTCAATGCAATCCCAATTTTTTTAATTCCTATAAATACAGTTCAATGCATTTTGTACAGATTTCAGCATTAAATTCTAGGTTCACTAGATGCAGGATTTTTAATCTCAGCCTTCTTTCCATGCTGCCATAAACAGCAGAATATACCGATCTCCCTATAGTTCTCCCCCCACCCCTTCGAGGCAGGAGACTAAACAACGTACCTTAGATGGGTCCATAATAACGGTGGGGACAAAGTTGAGGAATATGTGGTTGCAGTCCGTGCGCACGTTTGTGTTGTTAAATGCCACCTCCAGCTCATCCATGGCTTCTAAAAGCAAGCGCTCCCCCTCGTTCTGTAGGTACTCAAAGGATGCCTCCTGCAGAAAGATGACCCGTCCATTATTTTGCTTCCTCCTGATCAATTTAGGGTTATCAGATTGTTTACGAGAACGATCTGCAGTTCCTCTGATAGGGTTTCCTGCCTGCCCAGTCATCCAGGGGCCAACTCAGTCTCAAGAGAGCACCTTACTGTGACAAAGGGACTCACCAACTTGACATACTGATGAGAATTATGTCTCAAGAAACAGAGGATGCAGTCAGACGGCATGCTGAGAGTGGGTTAAACTACTCCAGTTCTAACCAGATTATATTTGATTTGGATAATTGCAATCACACTTACCTCCCTTATCCCACCTCACCGCACAGTCA